GTGGGTAGCGCGTGAAGCAGCGCGCACTGTTAAAACAACATGATAGAGGGCGCTGTCAATACAATGCATGGAGATAGGGGGCGCTACCTATACAGCGCGTGAAGCAGCGCGCACTGTTAAAACAACATGATAGAGGGCGCTGTCAATACAATGCATGGAGATAGGGGGCGCTACCTATACAGCGCGTGAAGCAGCGCGCACTGTTAAAACAACATGATAGAGGGCGCTGTCAATACAATGCATGGAGATAGGGGGCGCTACCTATACAGCGCGTGAAGCAGCGCGCACTGTTAAAACAACATGATAGAGGGCGCTGTCAATACAATGCATGGAGATAGGGGGCGCTACCTATACAGCGCGTGAAGCAGCGCGCACTGTTAAAACAACATTATAGAGGGCGCTGTCAATACAATGCATGGAGATAGGGGGCGCTACCTATACAGCGCGTGAAGCAGCGCGCACTGTTAATAGAATGCATGGATATAGAGGGCGCTGTTTTAACGAAATGTGATAACAATTGCAACAGCAATGTGACCGGATAGAAAGCGCTGTCTACAGAAAGCGCAATGATAGAGGGCACTGGTAACACAATCTATAGAGACAGAGGGTGCTATCAAGACAATGCATTAGTAGTGCAAGCTGTCAAAACAATGTGCAGAGATAGAAGGTGCTATTAAATTGAATACGTCACGAATTTTCTGGTGTATATTTTATAAAATTTTGTTGCCATTTTTTGTACATTAAAAGTAAGTACTAACAGGACGAAATGTATCGTCAAATTCTTACCTGATAAGATTGTTTCTCAACTAGTTAAAAATCCAGAACCTGACAGTAATTGCTTGCTATGGGCTATGTATGAGTCACGAGTGTATGTTTACATCGAACAATATAGTAAAATAAGAAGTATAATGCAGCAATTTAACCATAAAAAGTAAACAGAATTACTTACATTTTGCGAAAAAATAGAAATGTTTTTTTTTCGTTTACGATTTACGGTGACGTAATCACTTTAAAACCGTGTGTGGTGATAAAGGGCACTGGTGACACAATGCACAGAAATAGAGCGCGCTGTCAACACAATGCACAGAAATAGAGCGCGCTGTCAACACAATGTGGAGATATAGAAGGTGCTGTCAATACAGCGTGCTGAGATAGTTCTAAGTCACTATCAACAAAACACGCAGGGACGTAGGGTGCATGGTAACATAGGCTCATAGGATCTATGTCCCCCAGGGTACTGCCGGAACGTACCCTGGGTACGGTTCGATATACCGGAACGTACCCTGGTAACTATTTGATATGGTTAGGGTTAGGGTTAGGGTTAGGGTTGGGGTAACGGTTAGGATTGGGGTTAGGGTTAGGGTTAGGGAGTAGGCGTAGGCGACTCCCTAGACCTGTTAGTGGAGTAGGCGAGGTACGATCCGGCATATAATATAGTACCAGGGTACGTTCCGGTATACCGGACCGTACCCAGGGTACGTTCCGGCAGTACCCTGGGGGACATAGACCCTCTCAGCGTAACATAGAGGCCAGCGCCATCATGGGAGAACCAACAGAGGGAGACATGTTGCTCTGGGTAGAGCTTCACGTGATTAAACGTCGTGAGAGATTCGTACCTGGGTGGGAGTGATGAGGTCTGTAGTCTGGCAGAGAGCAGAACTGAAGGCGGAGAACAGGTCTCGCAGTTCCTGTACAAATTCCTCTTCTTCCTGTCCTCCCGTCGCCCTGGTAACGCACACAAACAATATGGCAGCCGAGCATGAGTCAAAACTAGATAATAATAAGCAGTATTATATACTAAAATTGTATTAATTAATATATATATATATATATATATATATGCATATATACATATACATAATGTTCATACATGTGTGTATACGTATTGCAATTAACAGTTAGTTTTTTCAGGTGTTCAACTACTCTAAACAAATCTTCACCTGAGAAGAGTCTGAGAACACACTAACTGCAGTTACAACTTACATTCCACCCATAAAAAATTGGATTTTTTCTTTCGAAATATTTATTCCTTAAAATCATTTGAGTCCTTCTAACTGGACGTTTTTCACCTAAAGCTTCAACCGCACACGTCGCCACGGCAACGCCAGCGTCTGCTCACCTGGAGAAGAGCAGTCGTGATTGGACGATGAAGCGGAAGATGATTTCGAGGCAGCGGTATGATCTCAGGATCGGCTGCTGCTGGTCTGTGCTCTTCACCTGGTTACTGAGTTCTGTCATGCACTGCAGCATGGCTCTGTAATGTGTAAGGCCACAATTAAATGAAAGTGTCAATGACACTGTAGCTCACCATAAAAAAGGACACAAATGAGTGAGTAAGAAGAAGTCAGTTTTAATTGAGCAACCATCGACGTACATTATAGAAACGATTGCCATCTGTATATCGCAATAATAATTTTTTAATCAAAATGAATCACAATTTGTGACCGTAGGTGGCGCTATATCAACTTTGTAGCAATGGCACTTGAAATAAATAGGTTATGCTGCGTTCCGACATGTTTTGTAAAACTTTTACTATAAATATTAGACGTTTTATCGGCAGGCGTGGAAAAGGAAATATCGATTTTGCCATTAAAGATATTGTCAATGGAAAATCATGTTAAAACAGAACCAGACGAGTGTACACCACAGACTGTTTGTGTCTATATAATCATGCTATATAATTGCCTACAAACCCTACCTTCAATTTGCACATAATTTTTTTAAAATATCAAAACCCCCTAGCCCTTATTCATTCACAATACCAAAAATGAGCAAATACCGTTGAAAAGCCTTAACTGACTAATGGCAATTCCCATTTTCCAAAAATATTGCTGTGGCTACGAAAAGTACTGTCGACTGTGCGTGCTTCAAATAGGACGTTTAAGTATGGGAACACAGCAGTAACAACTATACCCAATTTCAAACATGTGGGCCAAACGGTTCCTGAGTTATCGTTGACCGTAGCGAAATGTTGACGGACGGACGGACGGACGGACGGACGGACGGACGTACGACGGACGTCGACCCATGGCAATAGCTCAGCTTGACGATGTCAAGGTGAGCTAAAAAATCTTTGTTTGCTCTCACCCGACCCAGGCTGAAAAGTTTGGGTAGGTGGGTAGGCTTCTTTTTTTCTTTTTTTTTAGGGGGGGTCTTTTTACAATTTCAGCATGGTGTCTACATGCTCGGGAGTGCTTGTGTGGAGATACATTTTATGATGAATGTTTGTTTTGCTTGGTACATATAATGTATTGCCTACAGATTTATATAATGTACAATTTAATAATGTACAATATAATACAATTTGTAAAAAAATAACATCTAACATCTAGTTTATTAAATGATTCCATGGCCCTGTAACACAGAATATGTAGCATACAGTTACACGATTGCACTGTAACATGAAACAGCTAATATTGCTACCATGCAAACGTAACATATAGTATCGATCAGATGGACAGAATCATACACAACCACCAAAGTGTCGCTCATATATAAATATAGAGAGAGCGGGAGAGAGAGAGAGAGAGAGAAATGTATATATATATACATATATATATACTAGCAAAGTACCCGTCCTTCGGACGGTTGGAATTTATGAATGAGTGTATTAGTGTTGTAGCTCACCTAAGGATCAAGCGCTTCTTTGTAAAGTATGTTTTTGGTCTTTGTGTGCTGTGTGTGAATGTACATCGCTCTGGGTTTGCCTACTTGTCAGAGGGCAACATAGAGCATGCCATGGAAGAAGACAGGTGTGGTGAGGCCCAAGCCTATGGTAGTGAAAGTCTATGGTAGTGATGCTCACGGGTGCGGGCATATGCTGTGAATGTAGAGATGCATGGTTTAGCTGAGAAGGAGTCCTTTGAAGAAGTAAAATAGAATAGAAAAATTTATTTGATGAGATTTACAGGTGATGGACACTGAATTACAGAACTTCATGGTATGCAACGTTGGTAGTGTCGTAAACAGAGTCTGATTTCCCTTGAGTTTAGTTGTGAGTATTTCTGCATCAAGTGTGTGTGTGTGTGAAGTCTATGGATTTTAAGTCTAGTACTATTGCAGAGTCATTGTCGAATATTTCGGATTTTAATTTCACGTGATAGTTCTGCGAGTTTTGTCAGCAGTTTGGATATGAGTTTTCGGGCGGAAATTTTATCGCGAACGTCCGTTTAGTTTTATGTAATGCGGCGACCTGTCTGGGAGCAGTGAGCAACTAAAACTGATGCTTGCGACAGTGGGAATTCATGAAATGCTTGCATATGTGTGTAGCTCAGCGCTAAAGATTATAGGGCGTCTTGAAAATATGTTTTTTGGTCTTTCTGTACTGTGTGTGAAATAAAACATCGCCGTGGGTTGCCTACTCATGAAGGGCAACATAGAGGCCATGCATGGAGAAGACAGCTGTGGTCTAGGTCTCCAGCCTATGGTAGTGAAAAATTTCGTTGGGCTTTGTTATTGTCAATAGCATATCAAAGGCCGATAGGGAATTGCGGTCTTTTAAATAAAATGGAAGATCTGCATGCTGAAGGATTGAGTGGATCAATGCGGTGGTATCGAATACGGTTTTGCCAGTTGCTAGTCCATGTGGGATGACGACGTCTATGACGTTGGCATGGCAGGCTGTGAGTCGATAACGTGTTCCACTGGTGATGTTGGGTGGGTCTAAAGATCTGAGGAAATGATGGGGAACAAAGTTTAAGAGTAAGTTTGTGTGGTGGTAAGCTTTGCGGTATTAAGGGAATTCAAGAAATCCACAGGAATGGAAGCTTTCGTTGACAGTTAGAGTCGAGTCCGACAGACCCTTCCAAAAAAGTGGCGACTCAAATTTATTAGCATTGTTGTAAAAATAATATTAAATTGATTTATTTTACTTAGACCAAATGTGTGTGTTTAATGACTGGGCAAACATGTAAACTGTGTTTGTGTAGGCCTACGAACTATGATTGTTATTCAAGAAACAGGCATATTGAGATTTCGGAAAACCTACCTCAAGTGCAGGAGATAAAGGTATATTAACGTGTATTAACTTAACTACAAAGTTTTCGGCGTCAAACTCAACCGAACGTGAAGATGTGGTGAGCACATTGTCGTGATATTGACATATATCCCAGGGGAGTCACATGAGAGGAATTCCTTAACTTAAAAATAACTTAGCTAATAAAAATTCGCTGTTTCCCTTTTATAGTATACATTTTAAATTAAATATATTTTAAATATGCATATATATTTAGGATGAAAGAAAGAAGTTGCGCGCCTGGCGAGAAATAAATGTTTTTTTTATTTCCGCGGCTGTCGAGTTTCAAACTCACGACCCCCTAACGTATGAGGAAAGCGTGCTACCCTATGGTGCTACCAATGCGCCACAGCGCAAGCTGGCAACGACGCGTACTACATTGGTTAATCGTAGTCGCTTCAATACACCGGTATGCTATTTTTAGCCAGTGTTAAATAAAACGGCTTCGAATTGAACTTTATCCTGTTTTCATCATTGCAAAAGTGCGGCAATATTACTCTATGAGTGGTAATGCATCGTTTACAGTCAAGCAATTTTAAATCATGCGAGCAGATTCAGAGAACATAGCTCCACAGCGCAAGCTGTCAACAACACGTACTACATTCGTACGGTAGTGACGTCGATCGATATACCGGTATGGTATCGGTACACCAGTGTTAAATAAAACGGCTTTAAATTCAACTTTATCGTGTTTTCATCGTTGAAAAAGTGCGCCAATATTACTGTATGGGTGGTAATGCATCGTTTACAGTCAAGCAGTTTGAAATCATGCGAGCAGATTCAGAGAACATAGCTAACAAAAAATGGGCTGTTCCCTTTTATAGTATAGATTGTTATCATGACTATTGTTATCATGAGTTACCTTATTTATGAGCCTCCTAGTCAATTAACACTGCTCGTAATTGTTTGTCGAAGTCTACTGGGAATGTCAATGTGTAATAAAAAATCAATTGAGTGTGATTTTCCACTGCATGTGATGTGGCAATTCTCAATTCTGAACAGCATACATTATTACTTGAACAGTATGCACATGCATGCAATTGTTAGATGAAATTAATCTGTTCTAGGACAGAAACAAAATGAACTATGATTGTTATTGAAGAAACAGGCATATTGATATTTCGGAAAACTTATCTTAAAGTGCAGGAGATAAAGGTATATGAACTGAGCTAGACCGTTACCCAAACGGAAACCGAAACCGAAACCCGACTGAACCGAACGTGAAGATGTGGTGAGCAAGCGTGCTACCGCTGCATCCCAGCGCCGTAGCGCACGCTGTAAACAACACGTACTACATTGGTAGTGTCGTCGATCGATATACCGGTATGATATCGGTACCCGGACCCGGTCCTTCGGACGGTGGGAATTCATGAATGAGTGTATTAGTGTTGTAGCTCACCTAAGGATCAATGACTTCTTTG